TCTGTTGGCTGAGGAATTCTGGGAGTTGAAGTCCACAAGTCTTAAAGGGGCCAAGTTTGGAGAACATCTGTGCTAGAGGCTGATATTGTGGAATGGAACAACAAAAAAACACTCTATGCAACCTTCCTCCCCGGCCATTTTAGTGGGTTCCTCCCTTCTTGGGACGGTTTAGGATTCCTCCACTGGCAGCTGGAATGCTTTTGGCCCAAAGGGGGAAAAGGCGAAAGGCAGGAGGACCCCCCCCCCAAATCCAGCCCAAAGACAGCCCCCCCCAACATTACCTGGATTCCAGGGGCGCCTGGCTTCCCCCCCCCCTGCTGTGGGAGGTGGGGGAGGCCCGTGGCCCCCGGGGCTCCCTTTCTCCATCCTCCCTCCTGGGCCGATTCCGGAGGGTAGCGTCCGAGTGGTGGGGATGGGCCGGGGGCCTCGGAGAACCGCGCTCCTCCGTCCGCCCACCACGGTCCGGATTGGGGGATGGGCTTCGGCCGTACCGTTGGTCCGCTTGCCTTTCTCGCCCGTCGGGCGTCGGGCCCCGTTCCCCTTTCCTACGGGCGCCGGGCCCGCTTCTCCACTCCTCTTCCCGGTCCGTAGGAGAAGGAAGAGGGGGCGTCCTTGGGGGTCTCTCGTGGCTCCGAGGCCTCTTCGTATCCCTGGTCCCCCGACCGGCCCGCGGCGGTTCTGCATCCACAGCCAGCAGAAAGGGGCCCCGGGTTTTGTCCTGGCTCCGGTTGGGGCGACCGCGGGCTCTGTCGTGGGGTTCCTCTTCCTCTTCCTCCTCCACATCTGGGGGGCCCCTGGGATGGGGAGGCCTCTCGTGCCCGTCCTTCTTCCTCTCCCGCCGCTTCTCTCGCTCCTTCCTCCTCCTCCTTGTTTCGGAGCCACTTTCCCAAGTCTCCAGGTCGAGACCCTCGGGAATCAGCGGGGGGCCCCTCCAAGGGTCCCTGGTTTGGGGGGGCTGCCCCCCATCTTTGGGCCCCGGTTCCCAGGGGGTCCCGGACAAGCGGTCTGGGCAACAAGGAAGCGGCAAGACAGACAACGGAGGTGAGTTAGTGACCCGGGTTAAGGGCAGGTATCAGGTTACACAGCAAAGGGGGCAGAGGAGCCGGGGGGAGTGGGGGAGTTTGGAGGGGCAGGGAAGGCGTGAAAAGCAGCAGCAAACTTCATGCAGCCCCCCCCCGACCCTCCCCCCCTTGAGAGCCAGCTCTCGGGTCACTTCAGCACCATCCTGATCTCTGAAGCAGTTCCTGTCAGTGGAGAATCGAACCCAGGACCCTCTCCGTCTCCAGTAAGTGGGGAGGGGGTCCCTTCCTTGCCTGGAATGGGACAGCTGACCGGGGGGGGGGGGGGGGCAACTCGCGGCAGGACAATGTGACAATTCCATTGTTTAAAATAATTTAAACGATATTTTAATGTTTTGTCATTCAGATTTCATCCTTCCTAGAGGAGGGTAAGACAGGATAGTGTAGAGGGGAGGAGAGGAGATGGGAAAGGGATAGGGTAGGATAGAAGATGAGGAGAGGAGAGGAGAGGATGGGAGGAAGGATGAAAGTAAAAAAGGAAGGAAGGGAAGATGGGAGGAAGGATGAAAGGGAGGGAGGGAGGGAGGGAGGGAGGAAGGAAGGAAGGAAGATGGGAAGAAGGATGAAAGTAAAAAAGGAAGGAAGGGAAGATGGGAGGAAGGAAGGATGAAAGGAAGAATGAAAGTAAAAAGAAGATGGGAAGAAGGATGAAAGTAAAAAAGGAAGGAAGGGAAAATGGAAGGATGAAAGTAAAAAGAAGATGGAGGGATGAAAGTAAACAGGAGGAGGAAGAATGAAGAAATCAAGGTTGGGTGGATGGAAGGAGAGGAAGAGGATAATCCTTAAATTGTCGGGTTTTTTTTTCCTGTGGACACAGTGGCCCATATTGAAGAAATGAAATGCGGGTTCTGTCCCATCCTTTCTTTGACACGAGTGTAGCTGGGGTCCTGTGGCGGGAGGTCCCTTAGGCCCTTCCTTGCCAGCTTCCTCAGCAGGTGGACTGGGCTCCCCCCCGCGACCTGCTACCCCCCCCGCAAGCCCCTCCATCACCTGTCCGGCTCCTCAACCTCTGCGGAGTTACAGGGAGTCCTTGACTCACAGCCACAATTCGAGCCCCCAAACCTCCGCGGCTCAGCCAGGCGGCTGTCCAAGTGAGTTGTGCCCCGTTTTACGACCTTTCTTGCCACTGTTGGTAAGTGAATTGCCGCCATCGTTAAAATGAGTCGCAAGGTTGTTGAGTGAAGCCGGATCCCCCGTTGACTGGGCTCCTGGGGAAATGACGTGACCCCGAGACAGCCGTCCTAAGTGCAAGCCAGGGGCCAAGCGTCCGAATGTTGAGCACGCAACCAACGGGAGGTGGCGACGGGCGTTAAGTGTGAAGAGCGGCCACCCGTCCCTGTAACTTGGAGCAGCCGCTAAGCAAACGGGCCGTGAGTCAAGGCCTCCCTGTACTTACTCCCGAGTAGCTTCCTACAGGTTGTTCTTTGCCCAGAGACCGAATCTTGCCAAGTGAAAGTAACTCCTGGCTCCATGAAAGATAAAACTTCATGAAAGATAAAATTTCCTGACAGTGAGAAACGATTAACCAGAGGAACGGAAGTTCTTAAATGCTCCAACACGGGAAGTTTTGGACAACCCTTTTGGTCCGACGTGGTGTAGGGTTCCCTGCCTAAGCAGGGGGTTGGACTAGGAGACCTCCAAGGGTCCCTTCCAACGCGGGGATTCTCTGCCCTCAGTTTGAGAACTTCTAGGGAGGCGCCGCCTTGCCTCTCGTCCTCCCCACCCAGCTCTCTCTAAACTTTGCGGTCTCTTGCTCCTCCAAAACACAGCCCCTCCCTCTTGGGAATCCAGACTGCGATCCACCGCACCCCCTGAACTCAGGATGACCCTTCGCCTCGCGAGGAAAGCAAGAAGCACCCCGGGGCGGAGAAGGACGGGTCTACCTGCCGATTATCACCACCACCTTCAAGGACTGAAACCGCTTTCAAATTATCCCACGCGTGAGAGTCCCCGAGGGGGGGGGGGGGGGGCGTTGGTGGGGGGATCCCAGCACAGGCCAAAAAGTTTGCTTTCTTGCTCCAGAGGTCAAAAAGCCATCTTGGTCCCCCTCCCCCAGGTCATACCTGTCCCAAACGGCAACTGCATTTCCTTGGGGTTTTGTTTTGTTTTTTTCCTTTGAAAACTTTTTTGCTTCTCGTCCAAGAAGTTAGAACTGAGGAAGCTTCTCGGAGGAGAAGGGAAATGTTTTAAGGGGGGAAAAAAACACATAAAACCATCAAAGAAAGTCCAGTTGCCTTTTTTAGAAAGAAGCACTTTGGGGACAACCTTGGATGACGGAGAATCTCCATTGACAAGCTGCGTCGTTGTGTATCGGGGTTCCCCAAACTTGGCCCCTTTAAGACTTGTGGACTTCCAATCCCGGCTCTGCTGGCTGGAGGATTCTGGGAGTTGGAGTCCACAAGTCTTAAAGGGGCCAAGTTTGGAGACCTCTGTTGTATAGGGATTGAGGGATTTGGGGGACCCCCCCTCTGCCCCCCAATCGGCGTGTGGGCAAGCACCAAGGGAAATTTGGCACCAAGTGTTACCTTCGTAAATTCCCACCTTGGCAAGAGCACCCAGAAGCAGCGACAGAAGGCAAAGCCAGAACCAGTAAAGGAGAATATTTGCAGCTCGGGGGTCGAGATGATGAGGGATACTTGTGGTCTCTGGGCTTGGTGGTTTGGGTACGGACATTTCATTGCCAAACTAGGTAACGTTTTCAGCGCTAGAAGGGAGTGAGGTTTGGGAAGTGGAGAAAAGGGGGGGGTTTGCGGGGAGGAGGGGGAGAAGCAGAAGGAGAAGCAGAGGAGGAGGAGGAGGAGAAAGGGAATGAGGAAGAGGAGATGGGGAGGAGGGGGAGGAGGAGGAGGAGAAAGGGAATGAGGAAGAGGAGATGGGGAGGGGGAGGAGAAGTAGAGGAGAAAGAGGAGATAGGAAGGAGTGGGGGAAGCAGAAGAGAAGGAGGAAGAGAAACAGAAGAGTAAGAGGAGGAGAAACAGAGGAGGAGGAGGAGGAAGGGATGAGGAAGAGGAGATAGAAAGGAGGAGAAGGAGAAGCAGAGGAGGGGAAGCAGGAGGAAGAGGAGGAAGGGAGGAGGAAGAGGAGATGGGGAGGAGGAGAAGCAGAAGAGGAGGAGAAAGGGATGAGGAAGAGATAGAAAGGAGAAGGAAAAGTAGAGGAGGAGAAAGAGGAGAGGGGGGAGGGGGAAGCAGAAGAGAAGGAGGAAGAGAAACAGAAGAGGAGTAAGATGAGAAGCAGAAGAGCAGGAGAAAGGGATGAGGAAGAGGAGATAGGGAGAAGGAGGAGGAGGAGGAGAAGCAGAAGAGGATGAGGAGGAAGAGGATAATGAGGAAGAGGAAGAGGAGGGGGAAAAGGAGGACCGTGTGTTCTGCAGACTCCCTGAGTTGTTTCCTTGCAGAGGTTTCATGACCCAACTAGGTAACATCATCAGCGCACATTTTTGAGAGAAATGTAGGAAGAATAATACCTTAGCAGTTGATGTCAGCTTTGTAAAAAAAAAGAGCAACTCCAAAGCTGTGAGAGTGCTATTCATCCATTATTGCTTTTCCCAATATATTTATTGATCTGTTTGAAGGTAGAAAGTATTTCCTGGGAAGCTCTTAAGATGCGTTGAGCTATTTTCCTACAAATCTACTTTGTGTTCCATAAATACTACCCCATTTTTAGCACTGGTGATGTGACCTAGCTGGGTCACGCAAGAAGCCACCCGAGCTCAGAGAGCCCCCAGGGCCCCCAATTGTCCCACCCAGCGCTACAAATCTCCTCCTTTTTTGGGGTGGAAGTACCTAATCTGACGCTCAGGGCAGACGGAGTCCAAGCGGAGGAAGGAGAGGAAACAGGCCACACAGCTGCAGGGCAGGCGCACCGCCACCACTCCACCGAGAAAGGGGCTGGATTGCCACGCTGGCCAGGTGAACGCTGGGATCGACTCTGCGCTACCTGCGCAAGCGGGCCCAGGAGAGCCCGGCGGCAGGTGAGCTCTGGCCGTTAGCCCCGAAGCGATCCAGCTCTTTAAGGGAAACCGGCGACCTCCGTTTGGATGGGAAGGCCACGGCCTGCCGTCTTCCCGACACGCCCAAGACGAAGAAAAGCGCCGAATGTGTTGCACAGATGCACAGCGGAAGAAACCACACCGAGCGAGTTTCCCACCCAGCTCATTCAATCCCAGCTGGGGAAGGTCCTTTGATCACGTTAAGGCCTTCCAAGAGGAAGAGGAGGAGGAGGAAGAGGAGGAGGAGGAGAACAGCCGGTGCATAAATCACAATCCCAGAGATCATTTCCATTCGGCAGCAGCGATGAGGAGGAGGAGGAGGAAGAGGAGGAGGATCAAACCGAGGGTGGCTTTCGTGGAAGGTCGGAAGGAAGCACGGAAGAACCTCGCACCCGGGTCTGTCCAGTTGGCTTTGGAGGAGGTCATTCACGCCGAGCAGAGTCCAGCGTCCCTCTCGCCCCCCCGCTCCCCCGGGGAGATCCTAAGGCAGGGACTGTCCAACGTCAGCCATTTTGAAGACTTGTGGACTTCAACTCCCAGAATTCCCCAGCCGGCAGCTGCTTGAACTCAAAGGGTCCCTTTCAGCTGTAGGTTTCTATGATCGAGGGCAGAGGGGTGGACTGGAAGACCTCCAAGTTCCCCTGACAGCTCTATGAGTCTACAACATTGCACGGGGCGGGGGGGGGGGGGGGGGGATTTTATTAGTAGACCCCCAAGGTTCCTTCCAACCGTTACGTTTCTATGATCTCGGGCAGAGGGGTAGACTAGAAGACCTCTAAAACGCCTTCCAGCTCTGTTACTTTGTAATTCTGAATCCTCTTTGGGCTCCTGGGTTGCAGTTTAAACCAGGGGTCTCCAGCCTTGGCCCCTTTAAGACTTGTGGACTTCAACTCCCAGAATTCCTCAGCCAACAGACCAGGGGCCTCCCACCTCAGTCGCTTTAAGACTTCTGGACTTAGGCCCCTGGTCTGTTGGCTGAGGAATTCTGGGAGTTGAAGTCCACAAGTCTTAAAGGGGCCAAGGCTGGAGACCCCTGGTTCAAAGAACCTCTGGACCCTTGGCAAGATCTGTGTGTGTGTGTGTGTGTGTGTGTGTGTGTGTTTGTGTCTTTGAGTCGCCTCAACCCCGGCCGTCCCTTCCCTTGACCCATTCACCAGAAGCCCTTGCCTCCTTCCTCGGGTCGAGAGGGAAGGGCAGGCCCCAGAGAGTCCCCCTCCCCGTCTTAATCGCCACACCCAAATGGCTCCCCTTGCAGAGGTCAAAGGGCAGAAAGCCAGGGAAGGGGGGAGGAAGCAGCCCCTCCGCTCACCTCTGGTCTCCAGGGAGGGACCTTCCTCGGAAGCGGCCAAGCGTGAGGGATCCGGCGGAGGCTTCTTCCTCCTCTTCTCCTCCTGGAGCTCCTTCTGCTGCAGAATCCACGCGATGTCCTGGAACGAAGCACCCCGTTTTACCTGGAAATCCAGGTGTTTGGTCTTCCCGGGGGTTGGGCTAGAAGACCTCTAAGGCCCCCTTCTGGCTCTGTTGTCCTGTCCTGTTGATAAGTACTCCAAGAGGGCCCACCCAACCTGGAGGTCTCCTCTCTAAAAGTTAGCCCTGGATTTTATGACCCCAGGGGAGCCCCAAAGGTAGGTTGGTAAGTGAGTGAGCCTTGCTCCCTTTTACGACCTGTCTTGCCACCGTTGTTAAAACTGAACAGTCACTGCCGTGGTTGTCAGTCAGTCCCACGGCCGTTAAGTGAAGCCGGCTTCCCCGTTTTCTTTGCTCGTCCGAAGGACGCAAGGCGGGGAATGACGTGACCTCAGGACACTGCATCCTAAGTACGAGTCAGTTGCCCGGGGTCTGAATTCGAATCACGGGACCCTGGGGAGGCTGCGACGGCCGTAAAGTGTGGAAAAACGGCACAGGCTTAGAACGGAACTCAAAGGCCAATGAGGAAATCGGAATACTAACAACTAACACAGGACGTATTGTATAACTGGATAAATCCTAGATGCAGAGACTAGTACTGAATGAGGAAAGAAGATTAAAAAAAATAAAAATAAATGCAGAAAGACAGACATCCGTAAGAATAAACTATGTAAGAAACAGGATTAGGGGATTGCATGTGAATATAGTATGAAACACACAAAATGAGAATTGTAACAGCCTATTATGGTAGAAACAAGTCGTCAGAATATATTCATGAATTGGCAGAGACATGGTTAACATAGTAACCATGGCAACAGACCAGCCAATGGGAGTGGACAGCCTGGGTGGGTGTGGTTTGGCGGAGAATCGAAAGTGAAACTGACTGGCTTGCTTGCTGTTTTGAGCCCTCTGACCCGCTGCTGGTGGTGTTTTTGCTTAAGTTACTTGGAAAGAATCTACAAATGGTATTGTAAACTTTGCCCATCTTATTATGTTGATAAAGAAGTTAAAGATCCTGATGAATCGGTCACCTGTGTGTTTTCTGGGCTTGGATTTCCGCTGCACACTCTTAGCCTAAGTAAATAATAATTATAATGCTGACGCATGACACTATGGAGTCGAGAGAGGTTATACTGTATGATAGTTTGAACTAGGATGTCTAACAGGATGAGAGAGAGAGAAAAAAGGGACCTGATATAACTAGTACACGATGACGTATAGTATGTTAATATGTATATCGAGGAAAAATATACAATAAAAATATCTTTTTTTAAAAAAAAAGTGTGGGAAAACGGCCATAAGTTCCTTGTTTGAACGGTCACTAAATGAATGGTTGGAGGTCGAGAGCTAGCGGCGCACCTTTGCAGGCAAGTCAAAGCTCAGGTGGGAAAAGCTGGGAGGGTTGTTGGCTTCCTCCAGGTCAGGGGTCTCCAGCCTTGGCCACTTTAAGACTTGTGGACTTCAACTCCCAGAATTCCTCAGCCAGCACAGCTTCCTCTCTTGCCATCCCTTCCTCTGCAACCTCTCTCCTCTTTGCGGGGTAAGAGAGAAAGAAACAGACACGGCTGGCTGGCTGGGGAATTCTGGGAGTTGAAGTCCGCCAGGCTTCACCTGGCCAAGGTTGGAGACCCCTGCCCAGGTGAAGGTTACCTCATCATCCTCTTCCTGGCGTCGTTGCTCTTCGGCTTCGATGACCAGTTTGACCTGGATTTCCTGGGCGATCTCGCAGTCCTGCCGTTCTCTGAAAATTGCAGCAGAGGGTCCTTTCGTGAGTTGGGTTGGTGGGAGGCGGGGAGGAAGCACCGAGCGGGGGGGCGGGGGGCGGGG